AAACCACAGGGACCTGTCCAGAAAATCACCAAAAGTCAACACTAATTGAAAGGCACAAAAAATACAAATAAAAACTATTGCAAATGACCACTAGGTGTCTCTGCTGTATGAAATTCAATATTGTATTATTATTTTTTTATTTCCAGGCCCTGACATTTCAATTAGTGTACAAAGATTCATACAAGATCTTTTTATTCTAATAACCCAGATCCAGCAGTATGCATCGATCATTTCTCTATAAGCACACAAAGATTTAAATGTCTAGTTAACATCAAAGTCTATGACTGCTTTTTAATCAAAAGTGTTACATTTGGGATAGATTCAGTGGCCAAATGATGCACTTTAGGCTTCTTCCCAGAGGACTGTACTGGAACCAGTTAAGCAGACACTCAAGCATCCGAAAACTCCTGAAAAGACAAATGGATTGATGTATATCAAAAAAAGAAGAAGCAGCAGCAAATGAGGAAGCCCAAACTGCACCAGACTTAGAGTTTGGGTTCATACATCAAATGAAACTATAACGTGGTTTCATTTAATCTGACCTGCCTATTGTGGGCTTGGAGAAGAGGGGAAAAACAGTCATCCATGAACAATGCATGCCCACCAGGATCTCTTCTGTGGTCCTCTTACACTGGATGCAGTCAAAATTGTTGGTCTGATTTTACATTATGGAGGCTGGGGGCTGAAGTGTAAAATAGCTGTCTTAAAGTAATTTCTACATTTAAAAAACCCAAATCTCTCAATAATTGTTTTAAGCCCTGCATATATTTGGAGAATGATGCTCAACGTACTGCACAAAGCTTGATGAGACACCAAGTTGACAATGTTGCATATCTCTGTCTTTTGGTTTAGTCTAATGTAATAGATATTGAATTTACAAGTGGAATTTGATAATCACCTAAAAATCAAAAGGGACATACAAATTATACCCCCAAGAGCAATGTAGATTATCTTTTTAAACTGAAATATAAGAGATATACTGGAGTTATTTAATGGAAATTACATATGTATTTCAAGAGAAGACACAAAGAGATTTGAAGAAAAGAGGAGTTAGATTTTCCCCCCAAGTTTTTTATTAATTTTACAATATTACATTCACATATTTGAAAAGTAGCATGGCGGCTGGAGAGATTGCCTGCTCTGACGCTAGAGTTGCTGCTCTTTGGGGTGACTTTTGGCCCTTTTCAGGATCCCCAGAGATGCGAAACTGAATGGGGGAGAGAGAGCAAGTCTCCCAGCCGTCCATGGCGGCCGCATGATGAACCGGAAGCCTGGGGAGTTAGATTTTTATCTATGGGAAAAGGATGGCTGAAGGAAGAAAAAAAACACAAATTTGGTTTATCTGACTCTGGTTAAATAATGAATTGTTATTTTTGGTAATGTTAATAGTTATCTGCATTGCATAGTTTCTCTTTTTGAAGTGTCCAATAGCGTAATGGATTAGTTTGTAATATTTATATTATTTTTTGGATATGAAATAAGATGATATTATTTCTAATAATTAATAGCTTTCATTATTCTTGTTGCTGTTATAATGTTTAATTGTTAAAAGATGTCGGAGATTTAGACTAAATTAAAATAGGGACTATATATTTATGTTGTTAGGTATTAATTTTTACTGGACCTTTGTGATCTATAAAAGCTGAAAACTTAGAGATGAGTTTATAGAAAATGGGGTGAGAAATTACCTGGTGTAATTTAAGATAACTTGTTAGTTTTGACTATACGTGGGATGAAAAGAGGTTTCTTTTTCTTACTGTCTTTGGAGGGAATTTTTCTTACATTTTTCCATATTTTTTCTTTTTTTAATATATTTTAATTAGGTTTTTTATTAGTTTTATCTGTTTAGTATAATTCTTAATAAAACTATTGAAAATAATCTTATAGTCTTACAGTTTCTATCCCATTGCCTTAAATACTATACCAGATCAGTTGGCAAACAATAGTTCCATCATATCCAGTATATTTTATTTAGCCTAAATAATTTTAATCGATGTTTGTGTTACTAAGGAAGCAAAAGAATTACACATGAACAAAAAGATAAATAAATCTGCCAAGATAACTACCTAGTTATATAATTGCTACCAGCAAATATATTGTACACAGACCAAATCAATAAATCACTCACTGAAAAACTGTTTTTGCAGTTGGAGATATGACAAAAATGTCAGCAAATGTTAAATTCCTTAACATTAAATTAAATGTTTTTACTTACTAAGGACTAAACTAAGGACTAACATTAACTATGGAAGTTACTTGCCATTCACCACCCTGGGGTCAGTTAAAGATGGTTTACAATATGACATTGTAGCATATACTGAACATGAAACATGCTGAAGAAAAAAGATGGATTGCCAACAAAGCTTTTTGTGACCCGCATTTGAGGAAGAAATACATCATGACTCGTAGCATTTTGGCTCAAAGCAGAGCTGCCACATCAGCGGGCCAGTCTAAGCATTTTGATTGGAGGAACAAAAAGGTATATCCTTCCCTGTCCATTTTTAGCAGCTGAATAGATGGACTGTTAAATTTTACTTCTCCACAGGAGATCAGGACCAGATTAAGGCCAACCAGTTCTCTAAACACAGACAAACAATAATGCCTATCAGTTCTTCCATTGGTTAACTGACAGGACATTAAGAATCAATAAGTTCTGTAAATTAATGCTGAATGTAGCAGTGAAGCTACTAGGGCACCAAGCTATTAGGCCTTGGTGTCCTAAGCAATTGCTCATTTTTCTTCATAGTTAATCCAGGGTTGGTTGCTGGAGATGGGATAGTATCATCCACATCTGGAATAGCAGACTAGGGACCCTAATAGATCATGATGGCACAAAGAGTCTCAACATTTTGCTTCTGCCTTCTTTAAGTGTCCCTGTTCACCTTATGCCTCCTACTTTTGGTATCTATTTATTCCTTCACCTGCTTCCTTACTGCTTTTCCTAGATTCCTAGCCTGCTCCTATTGCAGCTTCTCTTTGGCCTTTGCTTTTTCAGAATCTTCTTTCAATATGGGGAAATACATCTTCAGTCATGGAGACATGTTTTTGAAAGCTCAGCATATGACATTGCTCTGACTCTCATGCTCCTTGTCCACTGAGGAAAAGAATCAGAGAGAAAATCAAGTACATTAGAGCATACTGGCTGGGGAATTCTGGGAATTGACATCCATGCAGCTTAAAGTTGCTGAGGATCATTAGAGCATCAGCACACAAAAGGTACAAGACTACTTCTGACTCATCATAATGTGCCAATATAAAGGGCAACATATCTGCATTGGCTTCAGTAGAAAATATATTTTAAAAATTAAAATGTTGAAATGAAAGCTGAACACAACTGAACATGTAATTCTGTCTTCTCTTTCCCATACAGATTAATATGACTCCTTCCCACCAAAATGGAAGATGACTCTTCTTTCTATTCTACATGAAATGAGATCCTCCTAACCTTCTGAAGAAAGAAGTGTCCAGCCCTTGCCAAGCAAGATTATTTCAGCATAATTAAGAAAACTTGTCAGCATGAGTCTGGCCACAGCCTACAGCCTTGGGGATTAAGCATGCATGTCCTTGGCGTGCAAGAAGTCCAGATGTCTTTATCTTCTTAGGCAATGAGTTAGATTAGGTCCAGATGGCATCCTGATTGCTTGAAACTCAGTTGATTGAATTAGTGGAGCTGTTATTTGTTCAGCAGTTTTAAAGCTTGGGACTCCCATTCATTGTCAACGTCCTAGAGTTTGTTGCCAAATGCCTAGTGGGAGGGCAGATCAATAACTAACAACTCTATAGCATTTATAAGTGCGTGTATTTAACAGCCCTGTGCTGTCCTGGAGAACACATTCATATGCTTTTCTGTTGACCTTGATGTGGCTGGGCAGATGCATTGGCTTCTCTTGCAACAGAAGGCTTTCGCTGTCTGTTTTGCATTTCAGCCTCATTTAACCACATCCTCTACCCAAAACCCACAAGACCTTAAAAGCACCTGCTATCAGTCCACTGTGCCAGGGATCAAATCAAGAACATTCAAACTCTAAAGCTTTTGCAGTTGTACTAAAAGCTGCAATAAGTCATATAGCACATTGTGATTCTTAGCCTAGTATATTATTATAGTGTGTGTGTGTGTGTGTGTGTGTGTAGATGAATTCTGGAGATTGTTTAAATATTCAAGCATACAGGAGATGAACTTAGAAACTACTATTTGCTCAAGAATGCACATTCTCATCTCACCTATAAAATGTCTGGCACTAAAATGGCACCAGTGCCTTATACACAAATAGATGTGTTATGGGTACCCAAGGAAGGGCATTAGGACACCCACAATTTAATGTCTTCCCATGGCAGAAGAACTAAACACCTCTATTTAGTAGATAGAAATGCACTAAACAAAGCTGTGCTATACAGAATTATTTCAATATTTTCCTCCCTGCCTAATTTCTCAGTATATAATCTGAAGATTGTAAAGTTTTCCTTACTTGTTGCTACTCTTAAATTGAATCTTTGACTTAAAATTTGAAAATGAAAGATTTGTCTGCCAGCAAGCCATATTTTACTCCATGGTATTCCATTCTGTTCTCTCATGTTTCCCAGTCCTTTGTTACAGGTTCACTGATCAGGCTCCTCAATCATTATTTGGATCCCTCTAATAAGTTATCAGGGGAACCTCCAAGACTATCTAAACAACTGTATCCCTACCCAATTCCTAGAAACAAAGGCAATGATATTTTCAGGAAATCATAGACTCAGAGAATTCAGTTATTTAAGAGTACCCACTTTATACTTGAATGTCATTCAAAGTAGAATAAGTTGTTCTAAGATTGGCTGCAAAATATAGCAAGTTTCTCACAAGGTCCTGAACTTTTCCAATAATTTATGGCAAAAATGGTACAAATATTTAGGAGGTAAACCAAAAGTAGAAAAACAGAGCAAGAGGAGGAACTGAAAAAAGTACGCTTCACGAAAATCCTGTGGTTGTTAAGGGGAAACAACATCTTTTTCAGGCACTCTTTGGCCGCTCTTGAAGCATTAGATTCCAAATGCCTTTTCTGAACCCCACGCTAGAAAATTATTTTTCATCCGTCTTCCATTACAGGCGTGTGGAGAATCTAATCAAACTCTTAATGGTTTGTTGCACATATTGCTGGCTTCTGATGGGGCTTTTAGGTCTTAGCTATGAAGTCTCCAAACCCCTCAATCAGATGTGCACTGAGGTGAGTGATCACTTATTTGTCTTTCTATTGGGAGAAAAGCATCTTCAAGAAAGAATCAATAATTAATTTGGGAGCAGTGAATACTTGCATGCTAACATTGGGTCACTGAAGGGCTGAAAGTCCTCTGCTGGGTAAAACAGAAAAATATACAGATAAATGCAGTGCCTTAGGAGCACATTTGCTGGACAAAAAGCAAATTTGCTTTTGCCTCCCCCCCTCCCAAATCAGGCTGATTTTGCACCCATTATTATAGCTAGTTGTGATTCTATTTTATTAGTTTCATATTCACAGTGATACATATTAGTTAGATGGAATCATGTGCCTGCTTAGAAGCAGATACCATTTTGAAATTCCCACATAGGCAGTTCAAGGCAATAAGCAAGCAGGTTAAGGTGGTCTATCTCTTCTCTATTTGTGGCCAAGAACCTTAAAACAAATAGGATCAAGGGAGATTGGAGATCTGCTGTTTAAGACACCATGTGGAGTTTTCAGGCACCATTTGGAATTGGCATATGCAGGGAACATTTGCCAAATGCTGCTGGACTAAGAGGGGCTAGGAGGAAAACAGACCATTGGCACTTTTTATCTACGTGCACCAGGGGCTTTTGAACAGGTGCTTGGCTTTATAAGCAGTTTATATGCACCTCATTTCTGTACAACTAGACCTTGGGGTGTGATGCTTCTCATGGCACACTTACGCTCACTAACACAGACATCTTTTACAGCTGTTATGGAAAAGGCTAGCGGCCTCAGATTCCCTCAGGCTTTTTGAATTGATCAAGTGATTGCTTTCTTGATATGTGCCAAAAAAACAACAACGCAACCCAGGATGAAAAAAGTAAATGACTTGGCACATGTATGAATGGTGGTAAATGAAGTATTTTTCAGAAAGTTGTATATGCTTTAGTCCACTCACAGTTTGATATTTCATAATGGCTACTTCTTTGTCATAGAAGAACTCTACTATGTATAAACCTCTATTTCAACCATCTGAATGTACAGACTTTAAAACACTGATAATTGACAAACATTAAGGTACAGTTGCAAGGTAATCAAGTAGCAGCCCCAGGAATGATCTTTTATAAAATGGGAGCAGGGCTTTGAAGTTCCCCATCAACTGAAGTCAGTGACTATAGCTTTGAATGCTCCTGCAGTAATTGTCTGAATTATTTAAAAAAATGATTAGAATTTACTGGGGGTTGTTTTGGACTATGACTTAGTGCTCCAACCTGGTCTAGATGTAAAGACCAAAATCCAGGGCCACGAACAGACAGTCTGGTATCTTCCAGATTTGTTGTGCTACTCACGACAATGATAAAGAATGGCAATATGGAAGACAACAAGTTTGTTTGGTGTTTATATCTTGCTGTAGTCAAAGCCCTCAGCAGTTTGCATAACTTAAACCAGGCAGAATTAAAAATAACATTTATGATAAAAATGAATATAAACAGTCATAATAATTAAAACAAAATTAAAACCCCAACTTCAATTAATCATAAAATACAAGGAGGGTAACCAGAATCGTCTTTGGAAGAGCTCTGTCTTTAGCAACTTCCTGAATGTACTTTGGAAAGGAGCCAGGCTAACCTCTACCTTCTTTTACTTCCTCAAAGTGGGTGACTAAGAATAATTTCTCCCAACATGACTAATAGGTCAGGCAGATTTTGGGGGAAGTAATCAGTCCTGCAGCTACCTATTTTTGTCCTCGGCTGCAGAAGCAGAGAGTAACACTTGAAGGACAATGATATATCTGAAAGACATGTATACTTGATCAGCATCTAATCTTGTACAAGAATTAGATCCTGGGCCATCAGCCAAGTACCCTACCTTTCTCTGTATTTTAAGAAAGTATCTATATACAGGGATTGGTATCAATTAGGTTTGTACATGTTAGACATTAAATATTAATTTATTCTTTTAAGTTATATTACCATTTCCTACAACAAAGCTGAATTTACTCTCACATCAGTCTATTAGAGAACACAGTATGATTTCACTTCCCATATTTTAATATTTTCTTTTTACTAGCCCAGAAAATGTTTCCAATAATAGTTGAGTAATCTGGAAAAAATTTTTACCAATGAAACTTTGAACATAAATTATACGATCATACAAAGAGCCTGTTTTGAGGTGTTTTTATTCTTTTAGCTTTTCTATTTTGACTTGCACTGATATTTTCTCATTTTGCTGTGAAGACAGGCAACATTTCCCCCCCCCCCCAATCCTTCACTAACTAAACCAGGCAATAGTCACTTAATGCAATTTTCCATCTACTTTCATCAATTTGGCTTTCACCCATGAAGAAAACTTCAAGTCAAAACCCCAAAAGGAATTGTAGATTAACAATCCTACTGCTCCTTCTTCACTAATTCTAGAACACTTTACTAAGCTCCTGGTTATACTTAGTTTATGTTAGACTTCAACAGGGGAATATTTCAAAAAGTACCAATTGTTCACATAAGTCACAAGGATCCATTCTCCAGCTTTTCCCATCTTTGAAGTACGCTGAAACGTCTTTGTAATACATTGAGTACAATAGTGCTCTTAGGTTTTTATCTGAGGAGTTTTCCATTCTGAAAAGTTAGTCACAACAAGAGTTTGGTTGATGTGGGTTTTATAGCAGAAATATCTAAACTAAGTATTAGCTGAGAAGATCTCTCTCTCTCTATTCCCCCATACAAACTTGTTTTCAAAAAATATGTTATGGCACCTTAATTTATAATAATTTATACATATTGACTTAAACGTTCCATGAAATCAGTTTGATCTGCTCCTAAATTCATAGCCTCAGTAATATAGTAACAAATATTTCTCCAAGTTGTTCTCATATTAAAAAAAAAAAAAACCAAACAAGGAAGCAAAGCAGCTGAAAAACTACATTGACTCCTAGATAGGAAATGTTTAGAGTCAATTTTATCATATTTATTTTCTAGATTTTTTTTCTTACATACATACATGAATGAATGAATATGATATTACATTTCCTCAAATGTAATGAATATTACATTTCCTCAACAACTCAAAAATAGCTCAGAGTGAGTAATTTTAAGAAAAAAAGATACCCACAGGAGAAAAATAATGTAATAATTCTGTAATATTAGAAACCTAGAAAGGAAGATCAGCTCCCACCTAAAGAAAAGATGAGCAAGAAATATTCTTTCTGATCCAGGAGATCATTGGTTCTGTCTGTCCTTCCTTGTGAATTCCTTCATTCCATCACCTGTCCTCTAAACCTGCTGTGATGGCCTAGTGAATTTGCAACTTTCTGTGAGAACAGATTCTTTGGTGCAGAATGGGTGGCTGGGGTTGGCCCCAACAAAGTTGCTGGAAATAGTGATTCCTTACATTGTCATTTTCCATAGGATGCTAATTTTCCACGTGCTGTCTAAAACAGAGCAGCAGTACTTATTTGTAGTAGATCAAATTAGTCTATACCAGAGGTAGGCAACCTTGGCTCTTTTATGACTCGTGGACTTCAACTCCCAGAATTCCTGAGCCAGCCAGGAATTCTGAGAGTTGAAGTCCATGAGTCATAAAAAGAGCCAAGATTACCTATCCCTGGCCTATACTATAGTATCTAGATAAGGTATTTTGAATGGAAAGAAATTAAAACTATTTAAAATGCTTTATAGAAATAAATGTCTTTGATTATGCTCTTTCTGTTCACTTTCTAATTATATTTCTAATTGTTCTCTTCTTGACAGGAAAATTATACTCTAGCTGAAGAAAATTGTGTTCTGTAATTATTGTATTTAGCAATGTTTTCTCCAAGATTTTGAGAAATTCACACTAGAATTGAATGCAGTGTGTTTTACTTACATAGTTATTTATTGTGCAACATGGCAGGGAGTCCCATCTGCAGTTATAATATTTTGGGAAATGTTTTCAAGGTCATGCACACATTATATAGCCATAGTTTTTCAATCATTTATCATTTGTTGAACTGTCAACTTATTGTGAACTTTCTGCATTAAAAAATGAACAGAAAGCCTATATGTGAGATTAGTATTTCACACTGAGCTCTTCATTGTACACTAGACACCATCAAAAAAACCCATAAGCCAGATGTCAACAGCATATGAAATCATGAACTTTCAATATCATTCATTTGGTTGTTGTTTTTTCCTGCAATACTGATTTTTTTAAAAAAAAAAAATATGTCCATTATATGGCAGCAGTAACAGATAAATGGTAGTAATATAAATTTTAGTGAAGTGTCAAAAACAGGGAAAATACTGTTAGCATTATTTTTTTAAAAGAAATGTTAAACAGAAGGACAAATGTCATTCTCTGACCCTTTTTATTCATTCCAAAAGGTGCATAATTTGGTGTAACCTTTATAATTTGCCCTCCCTCCAAAGAGGTAATGAAAGTTTACCTCAGATTCCTAGCAGTGTCATTTCTAATGATAGCTCAGGTTTGTCCCTGATAGAGATTAAAAAAAAAGAGTTAGGGTCAGGTTTCTGATTTGTTCTGTTAGCGTATTTAGCTATATGTTGGCATATGTACTTAAAATACAATGGTTTTATAAAAAACATAAAACTGGAGAGATACATATAATACATTCGCATATATCAGTAGTCCTCAATTTACAGCAATTGTTTAAACTTACAAGGGCACTGAAAAAGTGACTAATAATCAGTCTTCACTCTTAAGACTATTGCAGCATCTCCAAAGTCACGTTATCTAACTTTGGGTGCTTGGCAAACAGCATGTATTTACGATGGTTGCAACATCCAGAGCTCCTGGGATTGTCATTTGCAACTTTCATAGAGAGCTTCTGACAGGCAAAGTCAATGGGAAAAGTCAGTTTCACTTAACAATGTCTTGCTTAGCAACTGAAATTCTGGGCTCAGTTGTCAAGGATTACCTATAGGGATGTACTGCACGTTTCTAACTTGATATATAATTTTTACAGTTTTTTATTAATACAAGCTACAGTTGCGAAGGTTTAGGATTGAGAGAGATTCCAGAACAACTGCCTTTCACCACTGAAGTTCTTGATTTCAGCTTCAACTTCCTATATCTGCTTCAGCAATCAACATTCAGCAGGCTGAAGGCCTTGGTGCACTTAGACTTAACAAGGTAGGTATGTTGGTTGAATTTTTATACTGCCCAGTTGCAGAATGATCTGGGAAGTTTACGAAGTTAAAACAAACAACACTATATAAAAAGAATAACATAACATCCTTCTACAGCATCCTTCTACAGTAAAAGCATTCACTCAAATGCTCAGTCAAGACCTAGAAAAACTGGTTTTAAAGAATTTCTTGAGTGCGGACAAGGTGGAGGGCATATGAATTTTCCATGGGAAGCTATTGCAATAGACAGATGTGCAACAGAGAGGATTCACCTTCTGGGTGTTGCTAGATAGCATTACTTGCCTGACAGGACCCAAAGCAAGCCAACATTATTGAAGCACACAGGCTGGGCAGACACTATGGGAAATAGACTTAGATTCTGTCTTCCCTTCAAAATTTCAAGATGGTTCACATGACTATTCTTCTGCACTGTTTTATCTTCGCAATACCTCTGTGAGGTAGACCAAGCTGAGAGAAAATGGCTGAATAAAAATTTCTTAGTGAACCATGATAGTTAAATATGGAATTGAACTCAAGTCTGCTGGGACCTATTACAACACTATTACAACAGGTAGTGCTTAATTTACAACAGTTCATTTAGTGACAGTTTGAAGTTACAATGGCACTGAAAAAAGTGATTTATGGCCATTTTTCACACTTATAACCATTGCAGCATCCCCATGGTCATGTGATTTACTCGACAACTCATTCATATTTCTGACCATGCTGTGTCCCAAGGTCATGTCATCACCTTTTGTGACCTTCTGACAAGCAAAGTCAATGGGAAAGCCAGATTCACTTTACAACGGTGTTACTAATTTAACAATTGTAGTGATTCACTTAACAAATGTTGCAAAAAAATTCGATAAATGGAGCAAAACTCACTTAACAAATTTTTCACAACATAAATTTGGATTCAGTTGTGGTTGTAAATCAAAGGCTATCTGTACTCTGATTTTTTTTCCATATCTCTTTTTATGCTTTCAGTTTTTTTCATACATTGCTGTTGTGGATGAAGTTCTAAAAGTCTCAATAATAGTTGCAATAATATTCAAAAATTAGAGTTCTAGAAAACATGAAAACTTGCAGCTGTTTGGTAATAAAGGCATTGCCTCTGTATGTGTACATTTATGTGCATGTGTCAATATGGCAGCTTTTATTTCTTGTAATATTTGACATCAGCTTTAAAATGTTACCAGAACTTGTCCTGTACTTTCATGTAGAAATTTTATTTTCTCTGGTGTTTTTCAATGATTCACTCAAGAAAATAAATTTGAATAAATCTTAATCAGAGTTTGCAAGCTTGTAACACTCCTTCTGAACTTGTAATTGATAGGTATTTGTCTTGTTTAAAGAGACATATCATGATGTGCTTTGATAACCATCTAAAATCTGTTAATGTTGATTGGATCTCTAAATTTATTGAAAAATGAAATGTTTCATTTAACTACATGGTTACCTAATGATCTCCTGAAACAAAAATAAGGAATCTATTTAAATTATATCCACAGTTGTGCTTTGTTTTTAATACCAGATTTTGTTTTCTTTTAAAAGGTGTCAGATTAATTGGGTATATGAAAGCACTTTCGAAAGCAATATTTTCCTGGAGACCGTAGTCTTTACTGGAAATAATCTTCTCTTTCTGGCCTCAACAGCGTTTATGGGTCCTCAGTGTCTGAAGCATCTTGATCTAACCCAAACAGGGATCACTAACTTAGCATTTATCCCAATGCAGGATCTACACAACATAGAAACACTGTTACTAGGAAGTAACCATATTCAAACATTGGAGCTGCTATCAGATTTTCCAGCTAGAAAGCTCAAATACTTGGATTTACAGATGAACAATATACAAACAATATCAATTAGAGACATAAAGGCATTAAAACAAGCTAACAATCTGACTCTCAATCTTAGGGACAACAAGATCATGCACATAGAGCCCAAGACTTTTAATTCATTTTCCTTCTACAGTTTGGACTTTGGCAGTTGTAATATTTCTGTGATATTGGATGGATTGCAAGGTGTCAGCACTGCTATCCTTTGGCTCGGCACTTTTTTGGGTGTAGACAACCGTCCTATTCAAGAGAGCACATTGCAAGGCATATGCAACATCTCTGTAGACTATCTCAGTCTACAATATCACTCTTTCCTAGAACCTTCTGGTGACACTTTCCAATGTTTGTCCAAACTGAAAAGATTGGACTTGACCCATACCTCCCTTTCTAAGCTACAGAGTCTTCCTCAGATGAATTTACTGAAAGAATTAAATCTCAATCGGAATTACTTTTTGAATCTCTGCGACATCCACTTTTCTGTTTTCCCTTCTCTTACCCATCTCTATATCCAGCAGAATCATGAAGCCATGGAGTTGAGTTTTGGATGTTTAGAATCCTTGTCAAAGCTTCAACACCTTGATTTGAGTTGGAGTCACATAGAAAGCCTAGACTGCTGCAGCAACCAACTGCATGGTCTGATTGGCTTGCAACACCTTAATTTAAGTCACAATTACAAACTTTCATTTCATAACACAACATTTAATGAATGTTCTAACTTGAAAGTTCTTGATCTCTCTTTTACACATATTATCATCAATAATTTTCAAGGCCCATTCCACAATCTACATTCTTTGCAGATGCTTAACCTTTCTTTCTCTCATATTGATACAAGCAAGCAGAATATTTTGCAAGGTCTAAGCAGCCTGCTTGTCTTAAATATGAATGGAAATACCTTTAAATCTGGCACCATTTTCAATGATAACATTTTTCAGAAAGCACCCAATCTAGAGGTGTTAACCTTAGCTTCTTGCCAATTAATAGCGATAGAAGCTAAAGCATTTTCTGCTCTCAGCAAGTTAAAACATGTGGATCTGCATCATAACAATCTTACTGCATTCTGTTCAGATGTGTTTTCCAATTTCAGGAACATTTATCTCAATTTTGCCAATAATGGGATCCATATTATCCCACATGATTTGTTGACTCGACTATCTGGCCAGAGTATAATCAATTTAAGTTACAATCCACTGGAATGCACCTGTTCTAATATTGGACTATTAACTTGGTACAAGGAAAACATAGATAAAATTGAAGATTCTGAACAGACCTTGTGCGCTGAGCCCAAATCACTAAGTGGTACTAAGCTTTTCTCTATAAATCTGTCCTGTGGATATAGCACTGCACAAATAGCATTGATTACTCTTGTTGTGATAATAGTAATTGTAGTGACCTTCATTTTGATCATTTATGCTTTAAAGCAAAAATATTAACAGATAGAAGCTTTTGGTAGAAAGTAAGTATGTAGGAATTTTTAAAAAATATAGAAATATATCATTCTCTCAATGTATTAGGTGATAACACAGTGGTTCTCAACCTTTCTAATGCCGTGACCCCATAATACAGTTCCCCATGTTGTGGTGACCCCCAATCACTTATATATCACCGGGTGCCAGGGGCGTGGCCAAAGAAAAGGGGGAAAAAATGGCAGACAGCCTTATTTGGCGACCCCCGTGAAATGGTCGTTCGACCCCAAATGGGGTCCCGACCCACAGGTTGATAACCACTGTAATAACAGGACACTCCAAGCTCTCGTTGTTATGGCAGATAGGAGAAGAACAGAGTAATGTAATATTCTAGAAACAGGAGAGAACTCAATTTTCCGATTGATTTAATGATGTAAAAATATGAAGATTACATGCCCTTCATCCTCCCCTTTTCCTCTGAAACCTTTTTTTTACTCATTAGTAAAGTGATACCAAACCTATGACATGCATGTCAAAGGTGGCACACCATGACATTTTTGGTTCATTATCAACCAACAACACTAATCTTGAAAGCACCCTCGGTTTTCACACAATTTTTGGAGGCTATGGAGACTGTGCTTTTGCATAGCCCTGGACCCTCCAAAAATGAGTTTGTTTTACTCATATTTCATTTTTGTAATTATATGACATTTCTTTATATAAAATACATATACACGATAGGACTGTATTTTTTAAAATAACTATGTAGAGAATTATTTCTCTTTTGTTTGGGGATGGCGATGGCGGTAACAAACCAGCAGAGTCAAGTTAGTCATTTTCCAAATTTTTGATATGCCAAGCTCCAAAGTTTCACTATAATATATTAAAATTACTTATTTTCCCCTAACTCTGTACAGGGTTTAATACCAATATATTAATATACCAGAATATACACTTTTTTTTACACTGGTGTTTTAATGAGTTGTTTCTTCTTCTAAATAAAGATGAAGTATACCTTATACCTTCTATTACATTTCACAAAATGTAAACATATTTTACCTGTAATTCTAAAGCATAGTTTAACTTCAATGACAGAGCCTACAGTTCTGTCCTTCTTTTTTACACCCTATTTTCTAGAACAGGGGTTTCCAACAGGGGTTTCTGGCTTTGTGGACTGGCAGTGGTAGTGGCAGCAGCAAGGGGGTAAGGGATGTTTTGTGTTTGTGCCCACCACTTATACCAATGGAGTTTTGCAGCCTTGTCAGCCACTTGCACAGCCCAGTTCCCAACAGGCCACGGCCCGGGGACAGGGACCCCTGTTCTAGAGTAACCTTAAGGATATTGGTCATGATGGGTTTTCTTTTCTTTTATTATGATTTGCTAGTCTGTGTGAACTTAAACATTAGAGAAGCATAGTTAGAGGTTCTGATCTTGGTTCATGTCTGCATATTATAATTGCATTTTACTGCTAAAAATGACAGACTATAATTGAAAATCAAAATGTTTTATTATCAAAATTCATGAACATAGCCCCAAAATGTTTGATTAATATATCTAGGCCTACTAATGAGCCATGGTGGCACAGTGGTTAGAATGCGTTATTGCAGGCTGATTCACATCTCACTGCCAGAAGTTCGAGAATAGAATAGAATAGAATAGAATAGAATAGAATAGAATAGAATAGAATAGAATAGAATAGAATAGAATAGAATAGAATAGAATAGGAGCTGGAAGGGACCTTGGAAGTCTTCTAGTCCAGCCCCCTGCTTGAGCAGGAGAACCTATACCATTCTAGTCTCTTCTTAAAAGTCTTCAGTGATGGAGCGCCCACGATGTTCCACTGGTTGATTGTCCTCACTGTCAGAAAGTTTCTCCTTAATTCCAGGTTGCTTCTCTCTTTGATCAGTTTCCAACCATTGTTTCTCATCCTTCCCTCTGATGCTCTGGTGAAAAACCTGATCCCCCCACCCTCTGCCTTGTGGTAGCCCCTCAGATATTGGAACACTGCTATCCTGTCTCCCCTATTTCTTCTCTTTAGACTAGCCAAACCCAAGTCTTGCAGCTGTTCTTCGTATGTTTCAGCCTCCAGGCTCTTCTCTGAATTTTTTCCAAACTTTCAACATCTTTTTTGTGATATGGCAACCAAAATTGGCTGCAGTATTCCAGGTGTGGTCTTACTAGGGCTTTGTAAAGCAATACTAATATTTCACGTGATCTTGATTCTATGCCTCTGTTTATACAACGCAGGATTGTATTAGCTTTTTTGGTTGCAGCTGCACACTGCTGACTCATAGTCAAGTGATCGTCCATAGGACTCCAAGGTCCCTCTCACAGTTACTGTTTTTAATCCAGGTCTCACCCAATCTCTATTTGTGCCTTTGGCTTTTCCTGCCTAAGTGTAAGAATTTGCTTTTCTCCACACTAAGCAAAGTTTCACTGGCTCAAGGTTGGCTCAGCCTTCCATGCTTCTGAGGTCAGTAAAATGAAGACCCAGATTGTTGGGAGCAATAGGCTGACTCTGTAACCTGCTTAGAGAAGGCTGTAAAAGCACCCTGAAATGGTATATAAGTCTAAGTGCTATCGCTATTGCTATTAGCTCTGTGTACTTAAAAAAGAACAAATATACACTTGTTTCTTTTCAAGGTTTAAAAACAGAAAGCAATATATTAAAACTGATTCATAGCTAAATGTGTTCTAATGTAAATCTTGTAGCTATGAATATCTTTTTTAATACTTATATTCTGTGGACAATTTTGTATGATCTCTCTTTAGAGGGACATTATGTTCATGGGCACACCATACTACTTTATCCTTTCCCAAAGTTACATGCATTCTCAACCATGTATATATTCATTTTTCTCTGCATTAGGCAGTGCTTTTTTTGTAAAAAAAATAAATAAAAAAAAGTGCCGGAACTCACACACATCATACAACCCACCTTGCCTACTCTAAAAGGTTCCATCCAAAAAAGGTGCCAGAACTCCGTTCTGGGCATTCTATGACAAAAAAACCCTGGCATTAGGCATGGGAATGTATAAGAAAATGCCTATTTGAACCAATGTATAAGCTTTCTGTACAGGCAGTCTATAAGATAAAAATGTCTGACTTACAGACAACTTATACTTATGAATGGGTTATTACTAAAAATGGTGGACCACATTCTCCTTAAGCTAATAAACTGCTGAAACCCTGTTTTAATATGCAGCCTGTTTTCAGGTTCATGAAGACATTGTGTAGTTTCAATTTTTAACCAGTTTCAGGAAGGAGAATGCCTTCCACCATTTTTATCAATAGTCAGTTTGTATGTATAAGTTCTGACTTATGTAAAAATTAGAAGTAGACAGACTTAGGAATGGAACTTGCTCTTAATCTGGAGATTGCCTGTATTTTCAGAAAGACTTTACCTTCATTTATCAATTGTTGTTTTGTGCTTGGTATATTGTGTATGTATATGTGTATGAGAGAGAGAGAGAGAGAGAGAGAGAGAGAGAGAGAGAGAGAGAGAGAGAGAGAGAGAGAGAGAGAGAGAGAGAGAGAGAGAGAGAGAGAGATGCATTAAAACTTAAGTTTATAAATTAAGCTAAATTTAATGCATAGGCTTGTGGTCAAAGCTAGAACATTAATTTTTGGAAAATTATCAAGCAGTGGGGAAAATTTGGGTTAGTTTTATGTGTCCATGATTATTTCTTCAATTCAAATCTGACACAGAATTTCATACACTATACCAGGGGTAGGCAACCTTGGCTGTTTTATGAGTCATGGACTTCAACTCCCAGAACTCAGGAATTCTGGGAGTTGAAGTCCACGACACATAAAACAGCCAAGGTTGCCTACCCCTGCACTATACAATAATTATATCTCCAAAAGCTAATGTAAATGTTATGGAAAACGCCTTACCAGAAAATAACAAAAATCCTTATTCTGATAGTAACGAAAAACCAAGAATATTTATTAATTTATATAGAATTGCTATCTTTCAAAACACACTAACACAAACATTCTGTAGAACAAAGAATAAGGCCTACATGTGATTTTTAAAAGCTTTTAAGATAATATAACTTACTAAAATTAATAAAATATTGAATAGAACAGAACAGAATAACAGAGTTGGAAGGGATCTTGTAAGTCTTCTAGTCCAACACCCTGCTTAGGCAGCAAACACTATACCAGTTCAGACAAGTGGTTGTCCAATCTCTTCTTTAAAACTTCCAGTGTTGGAGCATTCACCGCTTCTGGAGGCAGGTTGTTCCACTGATTAATTATTCTATCAGGAAAATTCTCCTTAGTTCTAGGTTGCTTCTCTCCTTGATTAGTTTCCATCCATTCCTTCTTGTCTTTCCTTCAGGTGCTTTGGAGAATAACTTGACTCCTCTTCTTTGTGGCAACCCAAGATATTGGAAGACTGCTATCATGTCACCCCCAGTCCTTCTTTTCATTAAACTAGACATTCCCAATTCCAGCAACCGTTCTTTATATGTTTTAGCTTCCAGTCCTATAATCATCTTTGTTGCTCTTCTCTGTACTCTTTTCTAGAGTCTCAACATCTTTTTTACATTGTGGTGACCAAAACTGGATATAGTATTCCAAGTGTGGTCTTACCAAGGCATTGTAAAGTGGTATTAACACTTCGTGTGATCTTGATTCTATCCCTCTGTTAAAGCAGCCTAGAACTGTGTTGGTTTTTCTGGCAGCTGCAGCACACTGCTGGCTCATATTTAAGTGATTGTCCACTAGGACTCCAAGATCCCTCTCACAATTGATTACCATTTATACTATACCTGTGCATTTGGTTTTTCTTGCCTAAATGTAGAACCTTACTTATTGAAGTGTATAAATTGTTTCACTAAACTGTGTGGTATTTTCATCAAAATGTTCCAATTCAAAATAAAACTATTTGGTTTTAAAGAAAAAAAATCCAGATGTTGTGTTAATTACAGAAACATTGTTATTAACTGACAAAATGTAATATCTTTAATGGAAACATTTTAAAATAATTAAATATACTATTTATAACACAGGTGTCGAACTCGATCATATCATGTGATGTATTGTGAAGTATCGTGACATTTTTTGCTTTTGTAGAGCCAGGGTGGGCGTGGCCTCTGTGACGCATCCGCCCTATAGGCCACCAGTCTGACATCCCTGGTTTAGAATATTAAGTGGGGATATAGAACAGAGTTGTATTTAATAAACTATAAACACTTCTGTGTTGATGCAGTTTATAAGCATGTTCAAATGAATACTCATTTTTCTTTAGATACATCCATTGCCAGTACATTTGATGGACCTACCTATTCAGTCACATTTTGTCAGTGTTCATTGCATCTACACATCTTGGGATATGGCAAACATGCCATTAGATAATCCCATCCACTCAAAATACTTTACTCCATAAACTTTGATCAATGATCATGATACAATATTGGTTAATTAATTGATCTCTTTTCTATACAGAACTCACGTGGTGGAAAATATGTTTGTAGCCCAGTAAAGGTCTAAAATAATCTCCAATAAAATGCTATTGATACTTCCAGAGTTAGAATCCAGTTACCTGGGAATAATTTCTTTAAAGTTTTTCTGAATAATTAAATGCCAATGGAATATACCTTTCTTCTATGATATGTAAAACATTTCTTCTGGAAATCTACTCTATGACCTAAAGTCTACAATGTTGTACAAATCTGTAACCCAGGGAACCAAACTATTTGAAAACCAGCTACCTTCCATTTGATAATCCCTGGCATTCTTTCCAACAATCTTGTGCTGTATTATTATCTATTCCATGGTCACAATGATAGAATAAAAAGCATCCTCAATTTTCTTCACATACCTGTATCAATTTCTCAGTTCCAGAAAATGTCATAAGTCATAGAAATATTAAACTTACTAAAGCAGCCTCATACAAAGAAAATTTATATAAAATGTGGTTGACACTGGTTAGATTAGCAAAAATGTTTAAAAATGTATCGAATAATTGTTGGAAATGCAAACAAAAACCAGGTACCTACTATCATATTTGGTGGGTATGTCCTAGTGCAGTGGTGGTGAACCTATGGCATGCGTGCCACAGGTGGCATGCAGAGCCGTCCCTGTGGGCACACACACCATTTCTGGGCTCCTCCCCTTCCCCTCTCTGCGCATGCGCAGTCCGGGAATAGCTGCAAGAGCTGGGCGGGCTGAGGAAACATATAAAAGGAGCAGTTTTGGTGGAGAGTGAGTGAAAACAGAGCCATCTCCCTTCCGCAGTGCAGCCCCATCGGCGTGAGCGAAGACGGCCCTGGGACGGCCTGGTGTGGGTGCTGTCTATAGGGTGGCTCTGACAGGGACAGTGGCTGCTGCTCTGAGCCCCTTGACTGGCCAACCACACAGAGAAGCAAGAGGAGGTGGCAGCAGCGGTGATCCCTGCATCACAAAGCCCGGTCGGCCGCAGATCTGGAAGCAAAGCTGTGCCAACCATCCTTGCGCTGGTGGGGGCAGTGGCAGGGGAAGGTGAGCTGTGGCAGATGCCCTCCCCTCCCTGCCCGCAGGCGCATGCAGGACAATGTGTGGCAGCAGTGGCAAAGGGTGCCCACATGCCAAATCCTGCCTTCCTCTGCCGCCAACGCCAGCACGAGGATGGTTGGCAGAGCTTTGCTTCTGGATCTGCTGCCTGATACTATCGGCC